CGGACGTGTGGCCACTCTCGTGCTCGCGGACCCACTGGAAGTACTGTTGGTCCCATTGGTGCCACTCTTCACACAACTGGTTGTAGTCGCGCCTCCAGTCCTCCCACAGACACCGCTTCCACGCCTCAGTCTCTGCCGAAAGCTTTGCCCGATTACTGGATGACCCGTACGAGTGGCCACTTTTGGCGGCAACGAATTGTTGTGGTCGTGGACTGGGACTCACGCCTTGAGCCCTACCCCCGGGCCTCTGTTGAAGTCCTACGTACTGTTGTTCGGGACTTTTCTTCACGACCCGCTGCACCGCTGGCTTTGGTCCACACTTCACGTCGTGACCGCATCCGCGCCTATCTCTAGTCGTCTGAGCGTTTGTTCCGGAGTTCGACCCATATTTCAAGACTAGTGGCGGACACTTCACTCCTGTGGCCTTCGTTTCCGAACACAACTTTCCCAAAAAGCTATGCATTTCTTCTAAAGTGTTGAACACTTTGACAATTGGATTCATTGTAGTGATTGTCTTCTTGTGGTTATTCTTCGGATTGTTTGCGTAAAACGTCGTTGAGATCGCTCTCAACGCAAAACTCTTTCTGAATGTTTTCAAAATTTTATTTTTAAAATATATTTACAATTGTTTTGATTTAGTTTTTTATATTCATTTCAATTGTTTGCTAAAAATTATCAAACATTTTACCACAAAATACATATATTTTGCAAGTTTTTGATTATTGACAAAAAAAATTATGAAATTTGAAAATTAATTTACTTTCAAAATTATACATTTGTTTCGCAAAACATTGTCTGCATTTGAATCCGAGATTTGATCCGTGGATGCGATGGACAGACAAGAGCTTGCATTTCATGACAACTACTTTTTGGACTCAAATACTAATCATTTTCTTGTATTCAATGTTTAGATGATCTCAAAGACCGGCGAAAGGAATACACTTTTGGATGCAATTAACTCATAATTTTCATGAAAACATAACAATTCTAGCTTGGTACATTACGGATCGTTTGTTTAAATACATTACTATTCATATAAAATTTGAATAAATGTTATACAAACATTGTATTTATAACTCTATTGAAAAGTTAATTGAATATTTAATAAAATAAACAATTTAAAATATTTTATTTATGTCTTATTTAGTTGTCATTAATTTATAATTTATAATACTGTTTATTACCCATTTGTCGCTGCATTTGATCCGTGGATGTGATGGACATAAAAGAGTTTGCATTTCAGATAAAAAGGTTTTTGTAAAAAAGTTTTATACTTTACATTGAAATCCATTGGTTCTCAATACCAGTCTTCTGGTCATCACTTCCGATGCAATTCATGTCCACTTCGGGTAGACATAAAACCACTGATACTTGACATCCGGTGTTTTCCAATCCATTTCTCTGACCAGTGATTAATTGTTATTCATTTTGTGTACAAAACCATGAAATAGTTTCCAATCTGTAAGATATCCTCAGCACTTGATATCCCTTTCCAGTCGATTGCAGACTAATCGTTGTCTGCAATCCACAGGACTATGACTTCAAGTGCTGCACAACCAATGGATCCAATATTCAGTCTATTCATCCACTCTTAGGCCACAAACCATGCAATCGATGTCTATCTGTAACCAAAACCCCAGAACTTGTGTCCCTATTCCTCATCACTACAAGCGCTCAACGACTGGACCATAACCTCAAGTGCTGTACAACCCATGAAAGCCTCCCCCAAGACATGCCCTCCCAGTCCTCACCCCTTAAAGACATGTCATTCCTCTTGCGATGGATTGCATCCAAACGTGTATTCCTTTCGCCGGTCTTTGAGATCATCTAAACATTGAAAACAAGAAAATGATTAGTATTTTGAGTCCAAAAAAGTAGTTGTCATGAAATGCAAGCTCTTGTCTGTCCATCGCATCCACGGAACAACAAATTAAAAGATTAAAAAGTAGTTTAATTTTTGCATAAATTTATTTTAATTATATTTTTAATCAACAATTGTTTTAATATTTTTTATGTATTTTGTGAAAATTCCTGTATGTTTGGCAACGCTATGTTTAACTCAAATAGCATTCAAAAAGCATTCAAACCTTAAAAGTCTTGTTAAGCAATAAAACGTAAATTAATTTTTGTAAAATTGATTTAAATAAATAAAATAAATTAATTAAATTTAATTTAGAAATTTTTATAAATTCAATTTTTGCAAACACTTGCAAATGTTAATACGATCTCAATTTGTGTTAAATTTATGCCTTAATCAATATTTTAAAATAAATTGCAGTAATTTTATAACAAATAATAAAATATACACAATTAAAATGAACACAATTATAATTACATACAATTTTAACATTTCAAACGATTGTTTGCTTTTTTAAATATAAAGAGTCTTTTTGTAATCAATTATTATTTTGATAACACTTTATGTGATAAATATGTGATTAAATGTGTAAACAATTTCATTAATGGTTTGTAATAAATGTTAATTGCAATCAATTCTACAAAATTTTTTTTATTCACAAAACTAACTGAAAGTGCAGCGGACGTCGACCCGGAGGCCCAGTTTTAAGTCGTCCTCTAGTAGACGGTCGGCACCAGAATGTGATAAGAATGCGTACGCGAGTACACCGGCAGACATCAACGCCATGGCCAGCGACCTGATTGTGGCGCCAAAGCCGCCGCCTCTGCGGAACGGATCAAACCAGCGCTGGAAAGACATGGACTCTGAGCGGTAGCGCCGGATACGGGACCCGCGGCTCTGGTCGAACTGATAGAAGTGGGCGCAGAACTGGCACCGGGCGTCCCTCTGGTGGAGCATCTGTTGGACAACACACGAGTAGTGAAAGACACGGTCTCTCCCGGACAGCCGCACACGTTTAGCAACGGCCCCAACCATTGGCCAGTTTGTGGGTCCACTTCGTCGCGGGCGTCAAACATGAAGGGCTCGCTCTCTCGGTTCGGGTATTAACTAATGTCTAGCAATCGGCGCGGATTCTCCACCAACTGCTGGTCGGCGTAGAACTGGTCCTTTTTGTCCCTGTAGTCCCTGTACTCCTACATCAACGACATTTAGTGGACGGTCGGCCCAATACGGCCCGTATGGCCCCACGTGTGAAGAGGTGGTGACCGGATGTTGTGGTCACCCCCGGGGGAGTGTAACTGTTGCTGTGGGTCTGTAGACGGGTCGCCGCCGGCTCTGTGTCTACCCTAACGCCCGCAGTCGAGAGGGTCGCTGACGGGTCACCTCTGGTTCTGTGTCCAAACCACTCACCGCTCATACACTCCCCACTCCCCAGGGGAGTGGGGAGTGTATGAGCGGTGAGTGGTTTGGACACAGAACCAGAGGTGACCCGTCAGCGACCCTCTCGACTGCGGGCGTTAGGGTAGACACAGAGCCGGCGGCGACCCGTCTACAGACCCACCGCAACAGTTACACTCCCCCGGGGGTGACCACAACATCGGGTCACCACCTCTTCACACGTGGGGCCAAACGGGCCGTATTGGGCCGACCGTCCACTAAATGTCGTTGATGTCTGAGTACAGGGACTACAGTGACAAAGAGGACCAGTTCTACGTCGACCAGCAGTTGGTGGAGAATCCGCGCCCATTGCTAGACATTAGTGAATATCCGAACCGAGAGAGCGAGCCCTTCATGTTTGACACCAGCGACGAAGTGGACCCACAAACTGGCCAATGGTTGAGGCCGTTGCTAAACGTGTGCGGCTGTCCGGGAGAGGCCGGTATATTTCACTACCCGTGTGTTGTCCAGCAGATGCTCCACCAGAGAGACGCCCGGTGCCAGTTCTGCGGCCTCTACTACTAGCCCGACCAGACCTGCCGGTCACGTATTCGGCGCTACCGCGCGGAGCCCATGTCTTTCCAGCGCTGGTTTGATCCGTTCCGCAGAGGCGGCGGCTTTGGCGCCACAATCAGGTCACTGGCCATGGCGTTGATGTCTGCCGGTGTGCTCGCGTACGCCTTCCTATCGCATTCCGGTGCCGACCGGCGATGGCTCAACACATTGGCCGCTACTCTGGTGGCGACGCTTGTGGTGGTTGTCCTGCAAATGATATCGGAGTACAGGGACTACAGGGCCGAAGAGGACGAGTTCTACGCCGCTCAGCAGGTGGTGGGGAATCCGCGCCGATTGCTAGACATCAGGCAATACCCGAACCGAGACAGCGAGCCCTTCATGTTTGACGCCCACACCGGCCAACAGAAAACAATGGCTCAAGTGTTGAAAGATTATCCAAATCTGACTCCAATTGATGAGCCGAAGAAGAAGAGGAGTCAGCGGCCACCGGATCCGCCTCTAGGTTAAGATGATTCCGGCGCTGGCGGTCAGCACACGGGCCATACGGGCCGACCGTTCACTACTGAACGGCTTAAAACTGGGCCTCCGGGTCGACGTCAGCTGCACTTTGAGTTCTAGAAATAAAAAAGTTCTGTAAAATTGATTGCAATTAACATTTATTTCAAACCATTAATTAAATTGTTTACACATTTAAACATATATTTCTCACATAAAGTGTTTTCAAAATAATAATTTATTACAAAACATTTTTCCACAAACTTTTTTATCTGAAATGCAAACTCTTTATGTCCATCACATCCACGGATCAAATGCAGCGACATATCGGTAAATAAACAGTATTTTATTACTACATAAATGTATCAAGCATGCTTAAATATACAACTAATCATTTATAAAAACAAAATTAACTTGATTAACATTAACATTACAATTAATTATAGCATTCAAAATATAGCGCCCATATATCGGCCGCCAAACCAATCAAAACCATTCGCTCGTATGTATCGCTACCTCTCATTGGCTACACTCACTACACGTGTACAACACATACAACACACACAACACATGCTATGTATATAAAAGTACCAATACTTCGGCCCACTCTATAACCCATTACTAATGCTAAGTCAATGGCAGTAGTTTTGGTACGTTTTGTGACAAGCATTGCATGCATTGACAAAATCAAAACAAAACTTTTGTTTTCAATGTTCACTGTTTTTACAAAACAGTTGTATTCAGCAAAACATTGGCCCCGAAGTGACCGCCGGATGTGTTGTGCCGACAACTCGTGACCACCAAAATGACCGGCAAATCACCGCAACCACAGCCACAGCAACAGACACTACAGTTGGCCACTCTATCGGCCACTTATAACATAATATTACAGGTATTGTACAGATTTTGCCGACATGTGTTGATCCAACTGATCCATTATCTCCTCCTACCAATAGATAAGCCTCAGAGTTGTCACGTTTGTGGCCAATGCGGTCATCTTGAGGTCCATCAGTCGGGATGTGTTTGGAGTGATTAATGTCAGGTATTGTCGGGTTTTCATCGGCGATGATATGACACGAGACCATCATTTGCTGTAATGTGTTGTCTCTTATCTGATCCCTTATAGGCTGTTGCTGTTGTACACAACCATCCAGTTCTTGAGCCGCGAGCCGTTCCGCCGGGTGAGCATCGGTGCCACCAAAACGCACGACTGGCCGCTTGTGGTCAATCTCATCAGTCTTTCGTGAGTGTGTTGTTTAACCCGTGTTTTGTCCTCTCATTATAATTAGGAGATCATTAAATTGTGCGCTGAAGTACACCATCGAGTGTACTGTAATGTCTCCCTCGAGAGTGTTATCGTTTAATTTTTTATGTCTTTCATTATCACACATCCAATAGAATCCCATTATCACTAGTCGTCGGTACCGTATTGTCGCTGATATGGTATTACATACTGGAACGGCCGGACCCGCAACTGGTGGCCGATTACGGGACGGGAGTGGCGGCCGTATTCGTGTCGGTAGTGGTGGAGTTGTTGGCCGAACCGGTGTACGTGTGGGCGCAGACACAGGGCTTTATCAAACTGAAAGTGGCCGCCGAAGGGCTGTTCCTAATCGTCCGCACGTTAATCACCNCGAACCGGTGTACGTGTGGGCGCAGACACAGGGCTTTATCAAACTGAAAGTGGCCGCCGAAGGGCTGTTCCTAATCGTCCGCACGTTAATCACCGTAGCGTTTGTCGCCCAATGGCCGCACCGGGCGATACTGGTGTTCGCCGGCGCCCAACTTTGCGCCTCTGCCCTCTACACCGCCGTATATTACCTGTACTTTATTGGCGCACAAAAGCAACGCTTCCGTCACTTTATGCCCGATTGGTTTGCTTCAAAACAGGTATCAATTGAAGTGATAATTGTTTATCACTAGTGATAGCCCTAAACAACACTACAACTAACCGATCCCTTTGCCCGACAGTCCTCTACTATCGACCGATCGTTGATCGGTATTACCGCCAGTTTCCTGAAGAACACGGCATTGAAACAGTTCCTGACAGAAGGCGAACGCTTTGTGATGACATTCTTCCGGGTGTTGACGTTCGCCGAACAGGGCGTCTACGACGTGGTCAACAATCTCGGCTCACTTCCCGCCCGACTCGTGTTCGCGCAGATCGAGGACTCGGGGTTCGTGTTGTTCACACAGAAGATTGACCGCCAGAGGGCGGCCACCGACCAGAGCGGCACCGATTTGACCGAATCGGCGGTCATTTTACGTAATTTCGTGCGACTCATGTCTCTATTGGGTCTAATTATACTGACGTTTGGCTTTAATTACTCGGAGTTGGCTCTACTCATGTACGGCGGCCGGCAATTGGCCGCCGGTGATGGAGGACTGGCCACCCGTTTGTTGCAGTGGCACTGCGTGTATGTCTTGTTTCTGGCGGTCAATGGGATGACTGAGTGTTTCACGTTTGCGGCCATGAATTCGCGTCAGT